TTACATAGAATACAAGTTGCTGAAGTATGGGCACTTTTGCGATGACAATATATATATCGTCGTCATATCTAAGGCAGTAATAACTTATTCCACTAGTTGTTATTTTGCATTTATTTAACTTAGTTTTGATGTTTTTAAGTCGCAGATAAAATTTTGTACGTTATACGTAGACTGTAAATAATTTTTGGAAAAAATTACATCAAAAATAGGAGTCAAATTTTCTACTCCTATTGTTAATGTAAATTTATCTTTTGCGTGAATATTATTTTTTTGGAAAGTAATTCTAAATGCTCTTGGGTAAAATTCACCAACGCATTTACAAACAGCGGAGTAATAATACAATCGTTGGGTAAAATTCACCACCTTAGTTTTTTTCGTACATATTTCTTTTAGTCGATAGAATACGAAGAAATAGGTGTACCGTTTCCGCGTGTCTGTCTGTCTGTCGTCTGTCCGGATTTTTATTATAGACAGATAATCTTCGGACCTATCGTTGTCAAATTGTGGGATGTACTTATAATATCATGTAGATGATAAACCGCCAACCAAAAATTGAGGACGTTCGTATTCAGTTTTTACCCTAAACATCCAGATTTTTGAAAAAAAAAAAAATCAAAATTGCATGCTCTGAAATATTCCAAACGTTTTAAGATTATCGTAATCACGGCAAATCGTTAAATTTTTTCGTTAATCCTCTCCCAGAAAATTGATGGCGTCATTACAAAATTTTGCCGAATAAATCCTCTCTGAAATATGCAAAATATTACGACTCTATAGACTTGTGGTTTATAATAGTTTTCAGAATTACTTATACAGGGTGACTTAAAAATGAGGCAGTATATTGTATTGATTAAGTCAAGAATGACTAGCTTCATTTTCATGAAAATTTAGGCATACAGTACTTTTATTATTAGTATTACACTGCATCTCAAAACTTACAATTTTATGAAAAATCTTTCGTTTTTCCTTTTCTTTGATTTAACAATTTTTTGATATCACAATTTTTTGTTTTTTCATTTTTTCCATTTTTCAGTGTTTCGGATTCGTTTTCGCAATTTTGTTTTTCTTCCAAATATTTCATTTTTTCGTGTGTTCGATTTTTCGAATTGCAATTTGTTAATTTTACAATTTTCCGGTACTATTTTTTCGATTTTTCTGTTTTTCGATTTTTTATTTTTTTCTTTACAATTGTCGTTTCCTCGATTTTGAAGCTCTTGATTTTTATTTTCCGTTTTCCCGATTTTTTAAATTTTCATTTCCTCGATTTTCTCTCACAATTTCTAGTTTTTTCATTTCCTTTACTTTTTCAATGTTCTTTCGATTTTATAATTTTTCGTTTATTCAGTTCTTCAAATTTACGATCCTCGATTATCACCAGATGATTTAATTTGCAGTATTTCGGTTTTTAACTTTCTCAGTTTTTAATCGTTGGATTTTTCAAGTTTTTTGTTTCTTCAATTTTTCAAGTTCTTGATTTCCAGTTTTCAGATTTTTCAAAATTTTCATTTCCTACTTTTTCGTTTTTTCATTTTGGATTTTTTAATTTCGGTTTTGCAATTTTTCCCCTTTTTGTTCGAAAAAATAAAAAACTGAAAAATTAAAATTCGAAAAACAATAAACGGAAAGAATCGCAACATTGGTAAACTGAAAAAACGAAAAATGGAGACATCGATAAACTTAAAAATAGAAAAAAATTAATGGATCGAAAAATTGGAAAGATAGGAAAACGAATCGAATCGAAAAATGAGGAAACTCAAAAATTGTAAAATCGAAAAATTGGAGAATCGTCAAAATTATAGTCGAAAAACTGCAACTTCTTGATTTATATTTTCGTTTTCCTGATTTTTTAATTTTCATTTCCTCGATTTTCTCCCACAATTTCTCATTTTTTTCATTTCCTTTATTTTTTAAATGTTTCTTTCAATTTTATAATTTTTCGTTTATTCAGTTCTTCAAATTTACGATCTTTGATTTTTTAATTCCTCGATTCTCAGATAATTTAATTTGCAGCATTTCGATTTTGCAGTTTTTCGGTCAAGTTTCTCAATTTTTATCGTTGGATTCTTCAATTCTTTACTTCTTCAGTTTTCAAGTTCTTGATTTCCAGTTTTTGGATTTTTCAATTTTAGTTTTGCAATTTTTCCATTTTTTATTCGAAAAAATAAAAAATTGAAAAATTAAAATTCGAAAAACAATAAACGGAAAAAATCGAAAGATTGGTAAACTGAAAAAACGAAAAACGGAGACATCGATAAACTTAAAAAGAGAAAACAATTAATGGGTCGAAAAATTGGAAAGATGGAAAAACGAATCGAATCGAAAAATGAGAAAACCCAAAAATTGTAAGGTCGAAAAATTGGAGAATCGTCAAAATTAAAATGTCGAAAAACTGTAACACTGAAAGATCGAAGAAAGATTGAAAATTTGAAGAATTGAATAAACGAAAAATTAGTTTATTCATTCTTCAAATTTTCAATGTTTGATTTTTTAATTCATGGATTTTGAACTCTTTGAATTCCTCAATCATCCGACATTGATGTTTTTTAATTTTCTGTATTTCGATTTTACAATATTTTGTTTCCTCGATTTTGCAGTTTTCGACTTTTAAGTTTCTCAATATTTTGATCTTTCAGTTTTTCGTTTCTTCAATTTTTCAAGTTCTTGATTTCCAATTTTTACATTTTATAATTTTTCGTTTTTTAATTTGCACAATTTTACGATTTTTCCGTTTTTTTGAGCCGAAAAGTTGAAAAATTGAAAAATCGAAAAATAATTTAATAAAGTTCAATAAGTAAAGTAATATAATAATAATATGTTAATAAAAATAATTCTTGATTTTTTTTGTATTTTTTGTTTGTTGATTATATGAGCAGAAAAAGTATAGTATTAAACTCGTGAGAAATATACTCTTATTTTGACATTTTTGTCATGAAATTTCAAGTTTTGAAGTTTTTTATATTACCAACTGGCCAGTGTAAAAATAAACCTTAAAGGAGTTTTATTTGGTACCAACATAATTCAACAGGCAGTGGTTTTTAATTTTTGAAAAAATAATAAGTATTATGTATTAGATACAAATCTACTTAAAATGAAAACTAGAAAAATTGCAAATCAAAAATGGCAAAAACGAAAACTTAACAAGTTGAGAAACTGAAAAATCTATCAAAAATTGAAAAACCGAAAAATTCAAAAAAATAAATAAAATGAAAGACCGAAACGAAAAGCTGTAAATCGAAAATTTGAAGAAATGAAAAATTAGAGAATCGAAAAATTGAAAAATTATAAATTTTAAATGGAAAAATTGCAAAATCTAAAAATTAAAAAATGCAAAAGTTGGGAAGTTGAAAAATTGAAAATTTAAAAGTAGAAAAATTACAAATCGAAAATTGAAGAAACAAAAAAATGAAGAAATGAAGAATTGAAAAATTCAAGTCAAAAAAGCTTTAGGAATGTTATTTACGCCACTGATTTTAACTCTATAGAGGTTATCCGAAAACATAAATCGGAAAAAAAGTTCATAATTTTGCAAAGAAGCGGAATTTGTTGGGCTACATTTAAGGGACGTGGGAAGTTCTGTCGAAATAACCTTCGACCATTTTTTTTTCCAAATGCTGAGTGGAGTCATAGATTTTCCCGTTGTGGAAATCTACCACCAAGATGTAATGTTTGCCCCTTATTAAAACTTATTTAACTAATATAAAAAATTAAATTAAACTAGAGTAAAATTTTTGAAAAGACAAAAAATTAAATAACATTGAAGTTTACATTTACATCAAAAATACGGTCATTTTACTCCAATTCAAGATGTAAAGTTTACAGAAATCTTGGTTAAATTTACCTTTATTTTTTAGAGTGTAGTTTGATCATGATATATCGTGCTCGCATCATTGCATAACTCGGCCACCGTCTCGTAAACAGCACACATTATTAATTGGCATAAAAGTCTGAAAAATGTTACTAGACTTTTAGTGCTTTTCTACATCACACTGTTTTTAATATAAAAATAACAGTAGGTTAAATAAATGAAAATTTCATTGTAAGTAGTTTCTGATTCGACGTTGTGATTTACATTAATAATTTTTGACTTGTATCTCCCTCGATTGTCATTTATTTTTCTGCACCCTCAAACCTCAAAATCCGTTATAATCCCGACATCGACACCTCATTCCATCATCAATGTCCGTTCGCCGTGTCTACGTGACGCCTCGGCGTCTCTCCTCGGTCATTCACAGCAATAACAATACAATCTACAAACAATTACACTATCATTAATACAAACATGGCGCCTAATCCATATTCGTCCCAACGCAATTAGCCGTGATTGATAGCATTTTTATAGCTCCCGGAGCGCGATTTAGCATTTTAGGAGAGCACGTTTTAGCCGAATTCGTGCCGTTTACGGCGACATATTTTTATCAAACCTCGTAAATCCGCGTTAAAAATGCGTAATGCTGGCGTTCGTCACGCGAAATCCGGGCCGGAACCCGGAACCGTCCGGAAGTGAATCGAGAACGCGAAAAAAGGCGAATAAAGCCGCCATCATTGTCGGTAATTTTTGTGTAGGCAAAATAAAGTAGTTTGTATAGAGGGTTAGATGTCGTTTGTCAAGTGCTTAATGGCTTGTGAATTGGAGCCGTTTTGTTGTGTTGGCAGCACTGGGTGCGCCGGCTGCTCGAACCGCTTTTTTATGGTCGTGCACAGTGGCGGCGCGAGCTTTGGGGCCCCGGGAACGATTACACACGTGTTTTGTTTATTAAATTCTCGAGCTTTTTTTACACATAGTGAAATATTTTCATCCGCTGCAATTTTATATAAAAAAAAAGGAATATTATCTGCAAATTAATCGTTCAGCGAATTCAGTGAAGGCGGATCTTTTAGACCAAAGTGAGCGTTGGATAAGCAGCAAAAATGCAATATCGGATGACCTGATGTTTTATAACTTGTATTAACTGCAACCGACGGTATAATTGTACGAGAATGCATTTTTGGCCTTTTTGCAGGTTAAGGTGTGGTTCCAGAACCGGAGGACCAAGCACAAGCGGATGCAGCAGGAGGAAGAGGCGAAGACGAGTCAAGGCGGGAACAAATCCGGTTCGCAAGGCTCACAACAGAACAACAGTCATCACGTGAACAAGTGGAAGCAGGAGACGTCCGATGACAGTCAGTACGGAGAGTATATCGACATGGACATGGACGAGGAATGTGTGAGTGATGTAGAAAGTGAGACATAGACGCCCTGTATAAACTTGTATATAGTCTGTGTGCAAATCAAGACGATGATAGTGCCAACATTTACGTGCCAAACTGTTTTCGTTAGTGCCAACGTTGCAAATTGGTAGCCTCTGAGAGTAGATCCCAGTGTACATACGGTCATATTATTTATTTCTGTCTTGCTACATTTTGTATTTATTTTTGTTTGTGTAAATATAGTATTGTGAATATCGAAGTTTATTGAAGAATGCAGCATTTTTAGTTTTCTGTGATTATCATGTTTTTATTTCCACATATCTAACGATTTTTTACAGAATGTGTGTATAAATAGACGTTTGTTGAAAAAATTTTTTACTTGTACATTTTGGGCCCGATTTTCAATTTTTAGCGAAATCAGATTTTGACGAAAATTGAAATCTGGCCGATAGTAATCAGGCGCGGATACAGGATTTCGTTTAGGGGGGAGGCAATTTTTGTGCGATTTTACCTATCTCCCAGGAATTCGTTCCAAACAAAAAAACTTTTATAAAATTTTAGCTAGTATACTCTTTTTCACATAACATGGGTGACATTTGGTTGTTTTCGTTACACGTATAGTACAGTAGAACCTCGATAATCCTAATTAATTAGGAAAAAGGTGTGTTCGGATTAACGATTTGTTCGGATCACCGATTATTTCGCAAAAATCTGAAAGGGAATTGAACAACAACTTCATACACAACTGAAAACAAACTTCAAGAAATAAACCTAAATTTTATTAAACAAAATTAAAGAATTCTTAAGCAACAATGGATAATCGATACATTCTAAAAAAATATTACTCCGGTACCATAAACACGCTATCTTTTTGGAATCAACACGCCGGGATCTATACCCTGAATTTTTTCAGAATTTTTAGATAAATTTTTCATTCGCGACGATTTTCGAAATTTAACTAAATAAATACATTTTCTTGTAGATTTTGGGCCTCAGAAGTCACTTCTGGCTTCATTTCTTCGATAACTTAAACCATTTTTCCAGAATCGTCCCCTTGAAATATCGCAATTTTTAAAAATTTCGAAAAATTCGAATTTTCCAGCGAAGATATGGCTGTGTTGTTTTTGTAATAATTTGATAAAATTCCATTTGACAACAATGTTTGCATGATATAAAGCGAAGGTGGATTTCAGTCACCATCGTTACTAAGAAACCAGAAAGTAAGCCGGAGGTATTCGCGCATTAGGTGTGTGCAGTGTTGCCAATTTTACTTTTATTAAATTACGTTTTTTTCGTAATCTACATCATAAAGAATTTTCTTATTATTTTTTTGGGACTTCCGAAACCCCCGTATATAGCGTACTGAAGAGTTAACCGCCATTTTCCAGACACGCGGTATATCCCTGAACTTTTTCAGAATTTTTAGGAAACTTTTTCAAAAATGAAATTTTTCTCATGCAAATTTCGACCCATTTTCGACAATTTTCGAAATTTAACCAAATACTTTCTCTTGTAGATTTCGGGTCCCATTTCTCTGATAACTTCAACCTTTTTTCCAGAATTAGTTAATTAATTCAGTGCACTGAAATATTTTGAAATTTTTAAAAATCTTCAACTTATCTCTGTTCGGATTACTGGATGTTCAGATAATCGTGAGTTCGGATTATAGAGGTTGTACTGTATTTACAAAATAAAATGCGATTTCAAAATTTTGAAATTGGTCAAAATAAAGTACTTCGGTAGGGTCTCAGGGGGGGAATTGCACCCATTGTCCCCCCCCTCCCTGGAACCGCGCCTGCTCCCCTGGATCCGCGCCTGATAGTAACTGTAGAAAAAAATATGTTGAGTATGATGTACTTAAAAACTTGTAAAGCACACGAAATATACCTAAAAGAAATTTTATCAAACTTTCGTTTTATTTACCACAGGAATTTCCGTATTGCGATTTACTAATCTGCACCTCAAAGCATTTATGTGCGATGGAAGCAGTCAGCAAGTGGTCATCAGGTTTCACTTTTACATTTACATTTAGATTTGCTTAATTTACATATCTGTATTGTTGTGTAAATGTCTTGAAATCTGCACTATGTTTAATTTGAATGACTACAAATGGATGAGAAATGTTAATTTTATTTAAAGCGGGTCAACATACTTGAGTTTCGAGGTGTGATGCTACTTCAGAACTTCTTTCTTAATCGACCAGTTGTTTGCACAATCTGTCACATTTGACCACTGACGATAAGTAGCAGAATTATAATGACTCTGACAAAATTTAAAGATCGCAAAAATGACTTTGCGCTTTAAGACAAGGAAACGTATTTAAGGTAAGTAAATCCACCTTAAAAAACTGCCAGGTAAGACGTTTTTTAAAGAAATGTTCATACACCTACGGACATTGATTTTTTTTTAATAACCACCAACAATGCTTAATGTCCAATTTTTATGATTTATAAATTTATGTATATTATTTATTGCATTTGCATGCAAATTTCGAGATTTCTGCGTGATTAAAACTACTAATTACAAACGTATTATTTTTACGTACAAAGTGAGCTCATTATAATTGTAAATGAATTATACAGACGTAATTGCTTGTAATTATAATTAAATGATGGCTGTTTAATCCGACGGGTATTTCCTTATCTAAAGTCTGGAAACTGTATGTAGTTAGATATAAATAAATTAGTATTCCATTAATGCAAAAAGTACACAGTGTAGTAAGTATGTGTGAAACAGTATTGACGAACAAGTCATTAAAACCACGAGCTTTTTTCAGCACGTAGGTATATCTTACTGAAATTAAAATACGATACTAAAGTCTGTTATTATTTTATGACAGTATTTTCCGCTCAACATTCCTATTTTAATAGACAATAATTAATTAACAATACAATTTAATAAAAGTGGACGTTAAGTTTATCACGTTTTAAATGACCGCATAATTAAACAACCGCTTTGTAGTGAACATTTTAGTCACGATCTTATCGACATTTTAAAATTTTTACTAAACCAAAAACAGTTGTTTCTGTTCTGGTACACTTGTGACACCAAAGAAAATATTCCGAAAACACCAAGAAGTGTTTTCGCCAGCGACATTGGTCGGTAGCATTAGGATTTCGAGGTATTTTAATCGCTGTGACCTCAACAGACAATTTGTTAACGTGTAGTGCATACAGAGTGCTGACTTGTGTTGAAATGTATCTAGCTGAAAATAATGGTCCATCTTCCGGCAACACATAAGGCAAACTTCGATTTTTAATGTTTGTAATTTGTGCAACTGACGCCACAGTAAGACATTATTAGACCACCGAATAGAGTTCGTGCAGCGTTAAATAGTTATTCAAATATAAAAGGATGCTTAGTGGGTACTATACATCGAGTTATTTTTTTATTTGTTATGTCAAAGAGATTGGTCTACATTTTAACTTAAAAAGTTTAGGTTTGATTGGTTGCAAGCATGAGTGTAATAATTTTACTACGTATGCGTACATAATTTAAGGCTGTTGCTACACGAAACAGCCAAAAATAGCATGGATTTGCCTTGTTTTTTGATTTTGTGTGTAGTCAAAATAGATTCCTTTTAAAAATTGTTTTTTGTTACGCCACTGTCCATTGTCGGCCCTACCACTTTCAGTATGTTACTATTAACTTCAGTTCTAGCTTGTCGTTTTACCTACTGAATACTTGAATTTGACCCTTAAATTAGAAGTTGCAAAATTTTTATGAAACTCAATGAAATTCCTTGCGAGGAAATAATGAAAAAACTAAAAGCAAAAAATATAGCAGCTTTAAATTAAAAGTTCTTTTATATTACCTCATACATTTTTCCTCCGTTAATGAACCGCCACCTCCGCCATCTTGCATATTTCCTCTTCGCTCGACTCTTTTAAGATCGTCATAACTCGAGGGTAAATCTTATTACTCGCTCAATTGGCTTTAAAATCGTCGTCGAGGTGTGTCCATATAAAAACCCCTGGGGGTGTAAACATCGTCACGGAACCGCCTTGCATACAAAACACGTGTCGCGGTCATGCGAACGACATCAAAATCTAAAAAGAATGGATACCAACATAAACACCTGAAATACCCCAATATCGTTAACAAATGGCCGTACACGTACCGAGGTGGGTATAATAGCGACGACTCAACAATTACAATGTGACGTAAGCCATTAATTATAACCTAACCTGTGGTTAGGACTTAACAAGCTGTCACTAGTAGATTGTTAGCGGGTTATTTATGAGAATTTAAACGCGGACTCTTGTAGTACAATCCGGCGTATCAAGCGAGCGGCGAAAGCGTGGCTTGGCGCGGGAACGGCCGACGTTTCGGAGTCGAAGCGGCATGAGCAGGGCGCAATTAGCCAAAGGTGATGTTCTGCTACAGTGTACAAATTTTAGCTTGCGAGATGTGGGAGCAGACTGAGCTGAATGAGTAGTGTATTCTGAATACAAATATTGTTGGCAAATGAAGCTCCTAATCTGCCTTTTTTTTAATTGAATTGAGTGATTTACAAACGATACGTGCAGATCAAACTACGCCACTGGCTAGAGACAGTGCGTCACGCATTACCAGATTTACTAATTACTCGACGCGACAAACGTGGAAAGGTTGGCTCTAATAATACGCTCAAGATACAGCCAGTGGCGGTTCGTGACGTTAAAATTTGACGCGGCTGTAGAATCTGTGTATCAAATGTGTGAACATTTGATTTGAACATACTGAAAAGTAAGAGTTTCCAAAACTAATTTCTATTCTACTAGAATTACTCGAAAATAACACTAATAATAATTCAAATACTTAATATTTCACTCAAATCCAAAACACAAAGATTTTTCAAAAATTCATTGCCGACGTTTTATGTTTCATATGTTTTAAATATGAGTACAGTGTATTTTATGGCATGTAAATAAATTATACGCTTGCCAATTATTATTAATAATTTAGTGAGGGCATTCTTTACCTCTTGCGTTTATCAGGAATCTTCTTCGATCTTTTGGTACACGATTACCGTATAACCTTGGTTGCACCTAGTATACTATTAAAAATATAAAACTTCTCGACGCGTTTCGCCAACCACGTTGGCATTATCTAAATATTACTAATCTAAAGTAGACTTACAACTACTTTAGCCATACTTATTTTGCATTGTTTATATAAATATATGTAATACTATTATGTTATGCTTTATAACAAATACAACGTTGTTGGAATGTATTATCCATTCACGATCTTTATATAGTAAAGTAGACTTTGATTTTTTTCTTTAAGTTGGATAAACTGATTTGATGATTTAGTTTTTTGTCTGTCAGTAGTCTGATTGCCATTTATTTTGAGCTGACATTTATTTAAAAAGAAAATGCCTAAAATAGTTTTACGTAGACGAGACGTCAAGAGAAAGTGGTAGGTTCCATTGTCTATATAACCCTCATTATATATGTAGAGAGCGGAAAATATGCAGCAAAATTTTGGGAAATATGATCATATGATTTGCACCAAAAATTAAAAAAAAAGCTTAATAAGCGAACTAAATTTATTTACAAATTACAAAAACACGTTTACCGAGCTTACGTTTTATTAGAAAAAATACATAAATCACATTGCAAAGTGTTTAACTACATCTCACTAACACATAAATCACACTTTTAATAATAATATTCTTATACTAAAAAATAAATACAAACAGAACAAATCAAAAAATAGTAGTAGGTAATCGATTATTTAATTACTATTTTGATAACAATTTCTTTTTAGATAGGTTTCGAAATATTCCAACAAAAAGTTTTTCCGGTGATTCTATAGGTAGTATGTATCTGTAAATAGAAAAACTGCGTATTACGTCCACAGGTGTAAAATTACTTACCGGTCTAGAGCAGGCGCGACAAAACACAGTTCCTTCTTGAAGAATAAGTTCAGGAAAAGGTTCAATCCATAAATTAATTTGAGTTATCTTCGACATATTGATACCTGTATCGCTTTAAATGCTTTCAATGCTAACTCACGATGAAAAATAATAGGATAACGTCTCTTCGACCACCACAAAACATACCATTAAGGGGATGTTTGCTAAAAGAAAACTGTCGGATTTTTAATTTTGCCACCCATAATCTCTGATAACACTTCGGCACCCGCTTGTCGTGTATTATTGTTCGATTTTCGTTCGTCAACAGTTCAATTTTCATATACGAATTTATAAAAATGACCACAAGAAATTAATAAGAAATAAAAATCTGAATGTGTACAAAAATGAACTTCGAAAAATTAAGACAACAAATAGTAAGTCCAAGCAATTATAATCTAATTGGGAAACTGATTGATTTACAACAAAAAACGCACTCAGCCGAAAAATTATAAATGCAGTTATTTTTCGGACATAAAATAATCACTTTCTCAACACTTAAAAAGATTTGTAGCAAGTAAAACAAAATCAATTTTAAGTGTCCAAATGGTTCTACTGACTGTGTCCCTATACTGAAATGCAACGAGAAAATCACCAATTTCTGCATCAGTACGTACCTATATGTCATGATGTAATGCAAATAATAAAATAAACTAGAGACCAATAATTTGTTTCGTTTTTATTTATGCGTATTTATAAATGTACCCAACTGCTTTACTTAAAACTAAGTACCTACTTCAATTATTTGGTTTACATATTTCAATTATAACTGGTTCCCTATCTGGTTAGTATCGGCTAAATTCAAACTAAAGAGGTATAGAAACTACCTGTGTATACTGAATGGTTATCCGGCTAATTATAAGGTTTATGGTAATCTTTTATTCAACAAAATAAAATTCTTTCAGGTAATACACTTTGATCTTTGACAAAAAGCCGAAAAGCAATAAGATTGGTGATCATATAAAGTAAAGTTTGTCTAGAATTATAAGAATTTTATGGGCTCCCAAAGTTAATTCAATTTTACAGCCCTGTTGTCAGTTTTGTTGTTTAGCTGAAGAGCGGGGCGAACTCAGGTACAGAAAAGATCGGCTTTCCCCTGACAGGCTCTTTACCTGTACAATAGAATTGACGCCTGAGGTGTGAAACAAATTAACGTTGGGAGTCCATAAAATTCTTATAATTCTGGACAAACTTTAACAATAATAAAATTTCTATTAGTAACATTGGCTTACACTTTATGTAAGTGTATAAAAACAGCGGCAGCTCTAAAAAACAATAATATTTATATGTACAGAAATAAGGGAATAAAAGCATAATAATAGTAAAACTAATCAAATGATGATTAAACTGCATTTTTTGTCTGTAGTTTTTGGTGGCTTTGAAAGTGGAATCTTCGACTTTCGTCCCATTTCAAAATATAATCTTTATATATTTCAGTGGTCACAACTAGTTCGCTAACTACACTGAAATAAATTTATGCAAAGATTAAATTTGTCACCAAAAAGATGTCGAAAGTAATAAATTATCCCATCGGTCTAAGAACGTTCGGTGGGTGTTATACCCCGATCCGAGAGAGACCGCAGTAAGAGACAGCAAATGGAACGGATAAAATAAAGGTTCAAACATGATCAGTTTTAAACCAAAATTATGAAGTTTTATAAATCGAGAATTTTTTTTTTTTTTGAAATATCATAGTAAACACTTCAAAGAATGTCATTGACTTACTTTAATGTGAATTTTACAACTATGGTCGGCACAGTCAGACCTAATATTAGTGTGATTTTGAGCATATTTGCGATTTTATTAGAGCAAAACAAGTCATTTTCTCTCCAATTTTAAAGTTCCGGACACTAATGGCATATCAAAGATATTGTAAAAAAAAAATTGGGTTCAGATTCCAACTAGTTGTCTAGTATTTGTGAAACAAAATATACTGTAAATTCACTGAAAACTAAACCGATAACATCACCTTAATACACTGAAGTAACGAACAAAAATATTGGGAATGAACTTATTTCCAAAAGTAATTAGGGCGCGAATTTACCCGTAAGGATAGCTTAACACCCAGTGGTTTCTCCAAACTACCACAAAACCCAGACCTCTCCTAGTTATTTGAAGCTCAGGACAATAATTGCAATATGATTCATAAAATTTCGTCTATCTAGATAAATGCCAATAGTATGACAATCATTTTTTTTTTAAATCAGCACAAAAATTGATAAAAATGCAAAATATGCACCCGTTACGTGAAATATGCAGCAGAAGGCAAATATATGCAAATATGCAATTTTTTTATAGCTGTGTTCATTTTAATTAGCATGATTCGTTCACATATTAAATATCAAGACTTATATGCAAAAAATAACGGATATGCAAATTTCATAAAATCCGCTCTCTATATCATTAAAAAATAGGGTGGAGAATGTATGGCAGGCGCTTTCTAAATGTACTTCAAGCATGTGGCAAAATTTTTGTAAACATTGTGAAAAACTTATTTTGGCAGATTGGGAAAAATATGGGAAATCTTTGAAAATGACGATGATGATACAGATTTTCATAGCGAAATAATGAAAATGGAGTGAATTGTAGTTTGTTGGGGGGGTGATATTTTTACGCATCTTTCGTTCTAAATTTACCAAGGTAGTATGTGAAAAACTACCTGACGTACAACAAAATAAGTATAATTTTAGTTAGATCATCCACGTTGTTACTTTGCACCAAATTTTAAGGATTTTAATTTGTAACTCTTCATGGACCTGGAGAAGGCGTAACGTTCTTATTAATAAGCGTTTGGAAGTACTTAGTAAAAGCAAATAAAGAGCACTTACGTAAGCATTAGTAATAGCTATATAGATAAATCATTCAATTTAAGGCCGGAAAAATGTTTCAGAAGAGCTAAACCCATCAAAAGCAAGGTTGTTGTCTTTTACCAACCCTTTTAGTAATCTTAGAAAAGTGAAAAAAGAAGTTGGAAGATATGGAAATAGGCTGTTCACAAAGGTCGAAATTTCCATTTCTAAGAAGAGTGGGCGAGCAGAACGAACTGATGATTGAGAATTAAAGATGAAATGCTAAATGTGGCATGCGACAATAGTCGTATGTAGAACCCCCATTCATATAAAAACAATGTTTAAGTGAAATTTTAGTGTTTGTTCCTTACATATGAAATAAACACTTACAAAAAACCGAATAACTGTTTTAAATAGCGTAAAGTTTCATGCTTTCTAAGAAATGGTACCGTTAACTTGGTCATTGCTACTGAAAACTAAAAGTATCGGCAACAATGTTTATATTTCTGGCATATTTTTTAACCTTTAATTTAATAAAACATAACCTAACGAAAAAAGTTCAGGGAATGTTTATTCTTCTGCATCGAATACCAACAAACGCACTAGATTTTCATGGCCAACCCTACTATTTAAAGATCATGAACGGATAATATGGAAACGCTTAAATATTGTTTGTTTTGGAAAAGCAAGGCCAACTTGATTTTTTTAAATGGCACTACTATATAATTAATGCAATTTTGAAAAGAGCTTTTTTTGCAGATGTTTATTCATCAATAGAAGGGTAATAAACATCTGCAGAAGTGCATACTTATGGTCTTAAAAGTTAGGTCTAGCACTTCTTTTTGTCAGCACTATACATAGTTAGGTTCTGGCATTCCTCATAAAATAATTGAATCAATTCGAAGAAGAATAAAAACATCAATTTGTGCTATAAATTTAAATTTTGAGGAAAACCAAATCCTTTTTGGATTCGAAGAATAAACTGAAATTTTTACGATAGGTATATTGAAAAAGATATCGTTCGTGGACAGACAGTCCAATATAAAAATAATAATAATTTTTGGATATAATTTTCTGAAATGTGTCGTCTGCAAATTTGTTGGTATCAAATCATACCTAATTGACATTTGACAGAATTGTTGAAAAGTGTTAATCTTAAAATGGAGGTTCATTTTATTTATTAAATTTTTATTAAGTTCAAAAAAATTGAAAACAACTAATTATTTATGTAAGAGATACCTATTATGTACATTGAATAAATATATTTTTAAAAACTTACTGCTTTGGTTTGCACAAAACTCCATCTCCATCTAGAACCAACTCTGAGTATCATCCACGATGATAATTTGGAAGACCTGTCGCCAAGTTCGTAGACGAATGATGAATGAATCTGGAAATATAAAAATGAAATAGTTACAAATCCATTCTAGGTTTTCCATCTTTTCTATCCCCTCCCTCTACAGGGTCGTATTTAAGGGGAAACTTTAAATATACATCAATTTACGTACACATACATGAACATATATCTACCCATATAATATAAAAAGTAGTAGAGACCGTACGTTTACAGATAAACACAGTGAGACATCTCCATCTAACAAGTAGAATTCCACCAGTGGCGGAACTTACTTTCAAACGTCAAATTATAATCACAGTAGTTCTAAAAAGAAATGTTTTCTAAATCGCAACTTATAGCAGAAGAACACAACACAAAAACATAAATACAAGCGAACATTACGAAAAACATTTAACGAATGACGTGTTGACAGCGATTTATTTACTGAAGCTTATGTGCGCCAATGGGGGATGCAACCACCCCTTAAATTTAAAAATAGACTTGGTCCGACTCATTTTCGTTTAGTGTGCAAGTTTATAGGTATGCTTATCTGAAAACGCACAGACTTTAGGTAGTAATAACTAGTTAAAGGGGGTTTAACAGTGCAATAAAATTGTCAATACTCATTAGGCGGCCTGTTGAACCCCCCGTCTACTCTACCTGAAAATTCGTTTGTCGTAGTTTTCGGTAGCCACTTTGGATTATAAGGGTGGTTTGGCTTAAGTCATAAAAGCTTTACTAAGGTTGTATCGCGGCGTAGTATAAACAATCTTAATGTCTAGTCCTTTGAAAACTTTTCCTAAAATGCAAAAAGAGTGTGGCTAAAAACGGTTTTTCTGCGTTTTGTTATTTTATATTTTCGGGGTTATAGGGGTAATAACCGTTGTACACTTTCGTTTCTGAAAAAAAACACATAAAACTCTGACTTGGAAATGTTCATGGAATTGAAACAATTTTTATAATGTTCTTACGTCTAATAATAATTCTGTGCAGTTACTCACTCTTCCATATCTCGGCACTTAAGGTACACGTGTCCACTGGAGAGCACCTCTCACGAGAGTTCTGATTTTGATTTTATACCATCTTTAATCTTAAGTTGTCATTTCAAATTTCAGAGGTCTATTATTGCACTGAATTCAGTTATTACGAAATAAATACACGTTAAACAGACTTATCGGAGAACACTGTCGCACTTCGAGATACGTTCTTGTTGTGAAAGCCGCTGATAAACTCCGAGATATCAGGTAAAAACGATACCCAGTTGTGGGCAGGCCCGACCATGTGTTCACGGCTAATTTTGGAATTACTTGTGCCCATTGGTCTAAGTCAGGTACTTAAAATTTAAGCATGTATTGCACCAACGTTTAACTCTTTCTTAAACGTTCTATGAAATCCTTTTGTTAAAAACAATTTGTGATCATACTTTTCTTTTAATTTTAGTGAAATTTTTGCATCACGTATTTTAAAAAATTAATATTTCAGTTATTTATAGACATTTTGAAACGGGGTTTTCAAGACTGTTTTCAGTTTGGAAAACTTTAGAAATTTTACTAGGTCTACTTTTGACTTTATTTGCTGAAACTGAGATGTAGTAAAAATAATATTAATTAGCAACTTCTACGACACAAACTTTAATTACAGTATCGCTTCTAACAAAAAAAGTCGACGATAGATCTGGTACGATTTCTGGAGTTTTATAAGCTGAAAACATTATTGAAAACTGTGTTCTGGAATTTCCTTTAATAATTGAGATAGGTACTGATTTTTAAATATACGTTATGCAAAAATTTCACTAAAATTAAAAAAAAAAAGTATGATCACAAATTGTTTTTAACAAAATTGCCCTCCCGTTATATAAAGAAAGTTATGGACAAGATATATTTAAAATTTCAAGACCATAAATCTGTTAATAACGGAGATATTACATTCTGAAAATAAACCGAAAACTCCACTCAGAAAACGTAGCGACTGGCCTTAAAAAATCTCAGCGTCTTACCAATAATCGCACAAAAATCTACTTCACTCGTTACATGATAACACTCGCACACTGGTACTATCTAAACAGGAATATTAGAACTGCACTAATTTTTGACCTATCTAATCCTAGTCCTCCAACCCTCCCCCTCTTCTGAGTCCACAAAGGCCTTCCGAATCTTTTCGAAAATTCTAAAAGGATTAAGTACGGTCTAATGAAAAGTCAAAAATTTGACGGTTAGAAAAATCATGTGTTGCTTAACATACGTTTGAATTAACGAAAACTACTTAAAATTGTTTGTTAAATTTATAGACTTTCACAAAGGTCTAGAAATATTCAATTCAAAAAGGGCGATACTCGATTGTATTATCATTCTTCTAGAAATTTTTTATCGCTAAGATAAAGCTCTAATAAAGAAACAGAAAGATTTGATGGGAAATGTTTGAAAATAACATTTTTGGATGACTTTTCGTAAAGAACTAGAACTAGAGCCAATTCAAATGTTCTGATCACACAACAGATTACTACAACAATAGCAGTAACTGAAAGTGCAATCAAAGCTAATGCTGCATAAAATTTGATTTTTTTTGTTCCCCTGTGTAATTAATAATACCCGAATGACCGAATCAAAAATCTGTGAAACATGTGTCATAAAAAGATGTAGTAAAAAATTTATTTACACAGAACTTCATGCGCCTCCAAGGCACAATTAACTTTACATTCATGTCAGAGCATATTTTACAACAAAGACTGCCTGCATAAATTTTGGAGATGATATCACCAACTTGTTGGTGGCCTAATTTAGAAACTGAGTTTGAAATTTTCCACCAGAAACAAACCTAAGGTACAAAAATACCTTTGTTTCATTCCAAAATTGGAAACATTCTTAATTTTGTCAATCTTTGTTTTGGTACTGACAAGTGAGTCCAAAATGCCAACAGTTTCTGCACGTGTCCAAAGTATGTGCCAAAATCAGTCTTATCTTGGCAAGTACTAGCCCCCACTACTAGTACTAGTTTTTGCTTTCCATTAAATTATTGTTCAGGTCAGGACAAGCTTTAACAAAAATAAGCTGACGAATTCTACTAATGTGAAGTCACGAAGCAAAAATCTTTGTCCAACACCCAGAAGAAGCCTTCCTCAGTACCGATATTCCTTTATCAAAACTGAGTAACCCCATCCACGCTACGATCATTTTTTGAAAAGCGTACCATAGTCAGTTCCCGATGAGAGAGTTCCTTAAGAAAAAACGACATGAACAAAGTGTTTCAAAAAACAAAGCAGGCAATAATCTAATTTATTTTCATGTCGATGAAACAACCGATTCATGTGGACGTTATGTCGCAAATATTTTTTTTTTCGCTTAATCCATATTATATGCTTAGTTCATTGTATAAATTGTGTGGCTGAGGAAATTAAAAATTTGTTTTCAATAGCAAAAGATTTGGTCATTAATGTTAAAAAAAATTGTTAAATCACCTTTGCGAGTACAATTTTATCGAAATGCATTGCCCACAACCTGTTATAACCAGATGGGGGACATGGTTAAATGCAGTTATTTTTGTACAAAAACTACAATGCAATTGAGAACTTTTTTAATCAGCTGTCAAATGATGCTACTATAATAAAAATTATAGCTAAAATACAAATGCTGTGTAAACAGTATTTTTTTACATACTTAATTTAGTCATAATTTACTTTAACAATAAGTAATTTAAAATGTCATTTTGTTTTATTAGACATATTCAAATTAAATAGCTGCATATTTAGCTGCGTATTTTTGATAAAGTGGTGCAGATTTTGAGTTTGACCAAAAATGTGTGTATATTATGCGCATATTTCTTCGATATTTTGATGCATACAATACAATCCGACCTTTAGTTACTAAAATGTTTACGGTACTATCAATCCTGCGTCCGCTTCAACTTTTTATTTCGACGGGAGCGTGATGTGACATCCGTATAAGGACGCAAAGTGTAGGTATGCTATTATTTCCTGACAGGGTGTTTTGCCCCGATTAGGGTAAAAACAAATCGCTGAACATCCCAGATCTTTGTCCTCGGTTAGTTTAGCCTCCTCTGCATTAATAATCATGTTGGTTTGTTAACCGCGTGTAATGGCAAGGGAAGCGTCGAGGGCCTAATGCAGCACCATAAATCCTGCTTTGATTTATGCTCTCGTATAATGTATGATGGTAATTTGAATTTTTGGCTTGTTAATCGCCTAAACGTGCCATCCTATTAGACAACTGCATTCCTCACTAATTATCATCGTGTACGGCAACTTTTGCTTTATAAACAATAAAAATTTCTGCGCGATTACACACCGGTTCTCGGAATGGCTGGAACACCTGGACGAAAGCGCAATTTCGGAAGAACCGTAATGTTGAGAGCGGACCGTTTAACACCTTGTAAATAATTAACTGATTAAATCTGCCATATAAACCCATGAAAAGTCGACTGGTGATGTTAACGCGCCGTAATTACCCAGCCTGCTCCATCGCGGAGTGAAAGTGCCAACAGTCGGGAAGAGTGGAGCTCATAGGAGATGAGTGGTTATGATGTGGAGAACTGTCTATAGCAATTCTTGGATTATGACGGCTTCATACGTGAATTAACGCTGAAACTGCTGGAAATTGCAGTAAGTACCGGCGAAGTGGTTTGATGTTGTGACTGACCCATGACGATGAACTGTTTCCTGTCTGGTATGAGTAAGTTCAGCTCGGGATGACCTGATGGTGGGTTTTATTTTATAGGCAAGTGTATTAACGTAATTATAACTGAACTGGAACTGCTATGATTCATTTACGAGGACTTCGTCCGTTTGTTTCATGGTACTGCTCTACAATTTTGACACCGGTGTGTCTCAACCATATCATTACACAGTGCTGAAGACATTTTTTCAACTTTATAATATAATTTGGCCACTAACTCACAATGATTGCTGTTTATTATGGGACTATCTATAGTGAGCTAGAAGTGTTGATATCGTACAGGCGTGAAGTTTTGCAGAACGAATTCTATAATCACACGGGTACGATAATAATGCACTAACCCACACGTTGCACAGG